AATTTGTAGAAATAGCCCCCAAGTTGCTTATAAATCTATTTAAAACAAAAATATTACAAAAAGTGCAGTAAAATTAATTTAAAATACACTCCCATCTATCGCCTGCAGAAAAGTCAGCGGCAGGGCAAAGTTTAATGCAATCTAGCAATGAGGGGAGAAAGCAACCAATCACTGAGGAATTAGCACTGGGTGCCTGTGGCCGAGCAGCAGCACCCCCCCCCCCCGCCCCGCCCCTGCTCACGATCCTGAGAGACACATTTGTCTTCTGTCTCTGGCCAACTGCTTCATGAGATTTGCCTGCAATGGAGCGAATGCCAGAGACCCCACCCCGTGCTGCAAACCGCAGGGTGGTTTCCCCTGCAGATGAACAGCGATACTCTTTGCAGAGCCAAGCTTTACAGAGTGTTCGGTGGGTCAGATATGTGATCCCACCAGAAGTCCATTAAAGTGCCATATAAATCAAAGGGATTACGGCAGAACTGAAGGGCCGTTCCCATCCCATGCAGGCCCTGAACGATCTGAATTTTGATAGCTGGGACTTCCCCGTCCCTACGTGCTGCAAGTGCAGTGGCCGCGTGCACCTGGTGCTGCATTTAGAGCTATACTTTACAGCACTGTGGCTCAGTGCCAAACAGACATTAAAAAAATGTTTACAGTTCTCGGTATCATATCAAAGGGTAAAACTAAAAGGTTAATAAATCACCGCTGTTTAGCCACTCGACAAACAAGCTGCAACTTCATCTGAAGGAGGGCACTGCGTGCATGTGCTAAATCTAACCACTGTCACCAACACAAAAAGTTGGCCATTATCCTAGCATAAGTACCCCCTGGCCCCCACTTACTGCTATGCAGCAGCAGTCAGACACACCTGAGATCCCTTTGCCTCAAGCTGGGCTTATTCCCAGCATCATTGCACTCATATTGGGCTGTATTATTTAGTATTCAACTGTTATTTAATATTTACAGTAGCACCGCATGGTCCAAGTCAGTCTTGGGGCCCCACTGACCTAGGAGCTGTACAAACACATGGTCCCTGCCCCAAAGAGCTTACAATTCACTAAACCAAGTAACACACAATGGGGGGAATGGAGGGGGCAGAGAGAGTATATTCCACGCAGAGAAAAACAATGCCAGTCATCATCACTTGCATCATCACTAGCAAACAGGGCAGCAGCGGGGAGATTTTTCAGTGGCTCTGAATTAGACCTCCTTCAAAATGAGCCACTTTTTAAGAGTGGGGAAAGATTAAATGTGACTGAAAAGAGGTTGTTGGACCATCGAAACTAGAGATGGATGAGATCCACTCACTTAATCCAGATCTCAATCTTCCTCCAAATAGTGCAGGATGACTCCCTGCTAGAGACGTCTCCAGTGCTTCATCCAGTCCACTTTTTAACAACCCGAACGTCAGATCTTCCCTCCTCCTTCCCCTGAGACAGTAGCTTACAGTCTAATAGATCATTTTTTTGTTCCACATCCAGGAGAATGTAATGGACATTGGAGTATAAGACAAATGTCAGAACTACAGAAAAAGCGTTTGCCATGTCCTGACCAGACGGTCCGTATGATGGATCGCACGCAATGAAGGTAATAGCAAGACTGAATCAGAGATTTATCACTTCTTTAAAATATAATTGTTTTAATTTGCTGATGGCACTTTATTGAGATCTGTATGAAACAGCCATAAGATCTAAGCCACACAATTTAATGAAGTCCAAGATTAGTAAGTATAAGATGATTCTACAAGTGGAAGCTCTCATCCAATCAAAACAGAACGATCAGATTACTTCTCTATAAAATGACTGCTCTGTTGAGTAAGACTGATGGTGTGACTCTGTGATCTCTGGTCTTAATCACTGTCTCTAGCCCCGCTCCTCCCCCATTTTAAACCACAAGTCCCCTCCTCTCAGTCAGATGCTCAATCAATTAGATGTTCAGATTGCATGGTAATGAGGAGTGTATGAGAACCTGAACAGAATCAAATCGAGGAGGGACTTGTCTCTCCATCATTATGGTTGAAGCTAGCTTCCCATTCTAAGCCTCGTTTTGCCCCATCTCAATAACATCACTGATATTAAACTTACCCATTTCAAATCTGACAGGGCTCATCTTACCAAAGAGCAGAAGCTTTTTTTTTTTTCCCCTGCAAAATTTGGTACAAATACAAGTAACCTTCCTCTTTCTCTAGGGTTGCGTCTCCTAATCCTGAATTGGTCTCGTGAGTCAGATTCGCATATCAAGCTTTGTGCAACACGACAACGCTCCATACAAACAGTGCTGGACCACCACACAACACCCCCAAGTTGCACTGACTCTGAAAGTGATTTCAGAACCCTGACTAACCAACAAGTAGCGCTTACAGGATGCAAATCCCCCCCACCTCCGTTGATAAAATTAAGACAATTATGGAATCTAATGGTGCCACCCTCTTTCCAGGCCCCAGTTAGAGAAACATTAAGTGCAGAGACACTGAAGTGGCAGTTTTGTCCAGACCCTTCACAGAATATTTATGGTCACAAAAAAAGTAGAAACAAAAATCAATCTTTGCTCGGGCTTTCAGATAACTGGGCAGTAACAGGGAGAATGGTCATTTTAACAAGTCTGGCTGTACCACATAAAGAAGGAAGCAACTGTTTCAACCAAAGTAGGTTCCCCTTAATGGATTTAAATAAAAGAGCAAGATTCGCTCAATACTGCTTGTTCAGGATGGAAAGATACACTCTCCAGATATACCTAACTCGAGCTAGGAGGGGGGCAACTTCAAGGCTGATGGGGATGTAATTGTTTTGGTTGGGGCAAGTTTCCTGGCTCATCACCATTCACTCTAGGGCAGTGGTTCCCAAACTTTAACAACCTGTGAACCCCTGTCACTAAAATGTCAAGTCTCGTGAACCCCCTCCTAAAAATGAATATTTCCAGGGATTTTCTCCTTTACCTGAGTATAAATTATAAAAGCAGTGATCTTGGAAATATAAAATTTGTTTTTATGACATGCTTATTACAAACTATTATTATTTATCATTACAGTATTTTTATTACATTATGAAAACAGCAACACTCTTCCAAGATCTCACGTTCGTAGCTTGTATCGCTTTGAATAAGCCTGTTATAAGACAAGGCTCCTATGTTTCATCAAGGAGTATCAGATGTGAAACAGCATGAAGGTATTTAAGAAGCCAACTCAAAGAGTTCCTCCTACATATGCATTCAGGTCTTGAACAGTCCAGACAAACAATGCACGTTACGTTACAACAAAGCTTAAACTTGTTCTTCATCATAATTTTAAAAACAATACTAGCTGCCTATTTAATTTTAAAAACAGCAAAAAAATATCCACCTCCCTTTCCATTTCTTATAAGGAGTGTTGAAGTTTAAATCTCCTCAGTGTGATAGATATGCTTGCTTTGATCTGCTTAGCTCTTGGAAGTCCAGGGGCTCCAGGCTGCTGGCCCGCAGCTGCCCAGGGTCCCTAGGGACAGCTCTGTCCGCCATTAGGGAATTTTTTCCGAGAACCCCCTGTAACATTTCATGAACCCCACCTTGGGAACCACTGCTCTAGGGTCATGTAGTCATTGCAAACAAAATCCCTGCAGATGCACAGAATGATCTGACAAATTGCAGTGTGAATAACAGTTATAGTGGACAACACAGTAAAGAACCCCTTGCTAGTGGCGACAGCTCCAAACAGAAGCGATCAGTTTAATCCCAAAACAATGAAGCATCTGGACTTAATTTAGTAAACAATTTACATTTAACACTGGAACAAACCTGAAAATAATTTATCCTGAACAGTTTGCTTGGCCACTATTTGTCCTGTCCTCTCGGTTATGATTAAATGGCATTTTATTACTCTGCTCCTCCCTCTCTGTGAAGCTACTGCCAGAACCAGTGTCTACAGCCATGACACTGATGAGAACTTGACAGATTCGAAATTATGATTTCAGGGCAGAATCAAACAGAAGATGAGCTATCAGGACTAAACCTTCACTTACATGCAAATATCTACCATTGTAACTACCAACAACAAATTATGAACCTGTGAAATGCAAAGAAATTTAAGGCCTGCTTTACACTACAGAGTTGGGTCAGCTCAACTACAAAAGTTTCACGTCCTTTGTGATGTAGTTAAACCTACCTAAGCCCTGGTGTAGACACTGCTAGATTGGTGTAACAATTCTTCCATCGAACTAGCTATCACCTCTCAGAAAGGTGGATTTCGTACAGTAAAGGAAAAATCCTTTCTGTCGCTGCAGTAAGTGTCTACACTACAGCGCTCCAGGTGTGCACTGCCGAGTTTCTAGTACAGACATACATTAGGCTAAAATCTCAGGGTATTTGCAAGTTCGCAGTATACAAGCCCCTCTTCAAAACACCAATAAGAGATGTTCTAATTGGGCCAGCCTAGAAGTAGCACAAGGATTGATTTGACTGTGTGATTTACTATCGCGGAATGACAGTCATGGGTATTTGTGGATTCTATATAGAAGATAAAATATGAACATATGATAATATCTTGATGGAAAAGCAATGGGGGGGGGGAGGAGAAAGAGCAGGAAGAACCAGTATTTGGTCTGTTTGTGAACACAAAAAGTTGGTACATCTGGTTCATAAAAGGAAGGTGAATTGGAGGAGGGTCCATGGCTCAGTAGATACCTTCCATGAAGTGCAAGAGCAATTTGTAGACTAGTATGGAGAATAGGGCATGTTCCCTGGGGGAGAGTGTGACCTCAGGACCTCTTGATGCCAACTGACAGAGGACACCAAGGTGCATGGTGTACAGGGATCCCATGGGTTCACCAAAAGGGGTCATTGTAAGGGTCTCTACTGAAAGCCTGTGTCACACTGGTTATTTAATCACCAAGAGATGTATGTACGGAAAATGTGTGAGGAGTTGTGTATGTATGCTGAAAATTATCTCCCTGGTGAACCACTATATATTGTGAATCTCATAACAGAAGTCTATTAGCATCCTAATAGATTAGCATAGGCAGAAACGTTACCTGGATGTCACAAGTCGCCTTGTCTTCCAGCTGGGAACAGGAATGCTGAAGGATGACGACGAACTTGAAGGTGAAGCCACATTCTTCTTCACTATCCTATAGCGAGTCTGTACTACTTTATTAGCCACAGGGCTCCTTACAAGGTGCAAGCTGGACCCTGGAAGAAAGTAAGCAAAAGAACAACCTGAAAAGTTCTCATCCTTAGGATGCATGTGATTAAGGGTGGGAAGGAGGCAAGCCACCTACATAACCAGTTCATACTATGCAGAGAAGAGTGGCTTCTAGCTAAGGCTAAGGAGAGCTTGTTAGCACTTCAACTACTTATGATCCCCAATATGGTCAGAAAGTAATGCCCCCCCAAGTGTGCCCCTACACACACGTGCACATGTACGGCACAAGCAATCAGATGTATTATGGGGGTGTTCATGTTTTTCTGTCCAAGGTAGGAACTGGACAAAATGGAACATTGTCTGTTGTAATTACTACGTACTGACTGTGTCAATCCTCATTAAGCTCACATAGTCTAGCTCCTGCTTATGGACAAAGAGGTTCTAAGTTTCAATAGGTCATTAATACACGAAGTCTGAAGGATACGACTAGTTAGCCAGATCTGTTTGAGAGAGGAGAAGTGATCGGTCCAGTTTGACAGGCAGAAGATATTTTCATCCTTGGTTATATCATTGCACACTATTGACTGAAGTAGGCATTTCCCCACTGCATCTTAAAGAGTACAAATATTCCAGCCTTCCTACTGCACAATGGTCTTTTGAGACATTTCAAACACATTTAGAAAACACACCTTATCCCTGACATCTACATTCTGATTAGATTTATGTATTTAATCATTTCCATTTTCATAATATTTTGCAAGATGATCTATACGTCAGTTTTTAATGCGGAATGCTTCATGCAATTAACAGTTATATGTTTGACTCTGTTTTTCCTCTCCTTGATAGTTAGCAATTTTTTTTTTCACAGCTTTAAGGAATGCGTCTAATTGCCTGATTTTTATAACATACAGCTATAACTGCCCAGATAATTAAAGCTGACACTACACGCTGAGACTAAATCCTCTGGTTTTATAACCGATTTAAAGGGCTGGCTGGTTTTTTTGGAGATCTTCTAATTAAAATTATTGCAAGATGGAGAGGGGAAAACCAGACCCCACTTTTGTGTTTGCCCAATGTGTCCCTTGTTGGGAGAGGTGGGACTAGTGCTGCCCACAAGCTAAAATTTAGCATGTGGTAATAACAAGGGTGCTAGGGGCACAGAGCTACCACTGCAAGCATACAACCACATTCCAGCAGTCGCATCAGTGCTAAGTACTACCATAGGCAGAGCAGGTTTTGAGAATGTGATGGCAATAACTCCTGTGCCCTCTTGCACCAGAGCTAAAATACAGGTACTCATATTTCTAGTTCATTCAGAAGCTGGGTCCAAGAGCTAATTCAAATTCAGCAACTCAGTACCTCTGTTAGGACCTGGAGGGTAGAATAGCAGCATGAATCTCCCATCCCAAATTCAGACAGTGGTAAAAAATCTTTAACACATGGGATACGCAAGAGAAGGCTCGATAGTGCAAAATGTCACTGGAGATCTTAATAATAAAAATGAAGATAGCAACTTTCCCCCTGAATTATAATGGAAAAAAGATGATCATTGACCGAAGAGAGCAACATTTAGGAATACCGAGATCTTCAACTCTGCCTGTTACACGTTGTGCACACTCATGGCGCTATACAAATACTGTCGTCATTCTATACAATTGTGACAATCTGACAAGGGCTCAGTGTAAATAAATCAAGGCAAATCTGGCAGCACATTTCCCATACTGAAGCATATACAATTAGGACAATAATTTTAATCACCATTTTCCCTTCCACTACCTGCAGCTTTTACAGTTATAGTGTAGGTTTTACATTAAAAAATATTCAAATTGGGGCTGTCAATTAATCACAGTTAACTCATGCGATTAACTCAAAAAAATTAATCACGATTAATCGCAGTTTTATTCGCACTGCTAAGCAATAGAATACCAATTGAAATGTATTAAATATTTTGGATGTTTTTCTACATTTTCAGATATATTGTATTCTGTATTGTAATTGAAATCCAAGTGTATATTATTTATTACAACAAATATTTGGCACCTTAAAAAATGATAAATAGTATTTTTCAATTCACCTCATACAAGTACTGTAGAGCAATCTCTTTGTTGTGACAGTGCAATTTATAAATGTAGATTTTTTTTGTTACATAACTGCACTCAAAAACAAAATGTAAAACTTCAGAGCCTACAAGTCCACTCAGTCCTGCTTCTTGTTCAGCCAATTGCTAAAACAAATAAGTTAGTTTACAATTACAGGAGATAATGCTGCCCTCTTATTTACAATATCACTAGAAAGTGAGAAAAGGTATTTGCATGGCACTTTTGTAGCCGGCATTGCAAGGTATTTATATGCCAGATATGCTAAACATTTGTATGCCCCTTCATGCTTCGGCCACCATTCCAGAGGACATGCTTCCATGCTGATGACGCTCGTTTAAAAAAAATGCGTAAATTAAATTTGCGACTGAACTCCTTGGGGGAGAATTGTATGTCTCCTGTTCTGTTTCACCGAGGTTCTGCCATGTATTTCATGTATCAGAGGGGTAGCCGTGTTAGTTAGTTACCTGCCTCTGGAGATTTCCATTACATGCATCTGAAGAAGTGAGGTTCTTACCCACGAAAGCTTATGCTCCCAATACTTCTGTTAGTCTTAAAGGTGCCACAGGACCCTCTGTTGCTTTTTACATGTATTTCATGTTATAGCAGTCTCGGATGATGATCCAGAACATGTTCGTTTTAAGGACACTTTCACAGCAGATTTGACAAAATGCAAAGAAGGTACCAATGTGAGATTTCTAAGGATAGATACAGCTGAAAATACAGTCCACCTTGAGAGAATGCTTAAAGAACTGAATGCGAAAAGTAGTCAAGTCGGATTAAAAATGAACCAGTCGAAAACGAAATATATGAGATCGGATGTTCTGCCAAGAACCCAAATAACTCTTGGAGGAGAGCAGATCCAAGAGGTCGACAAATGCGTTTATTTGGGCCAAGAAGTCAACATGCGCCATGATCAGAAAGGCGAACGGTCGCGCAGAAAAAAAGCTGGATGGTGCGCATTCAACGACATCAGGGACATCCTCCAAGGAAAGATCAGCAAAACAACTCATGCAAATCTTTTTAACTCGACCGTGCTTCCAGCGATGCTATATGGCAGTGAAACATGGTCGCTGACGAAGACTGAAGAACATCAACTGTCTGTCACACAGAGGGCAATGGAATGAACATTTTTGGGCATTTCGCTCCGCGATCGCATCCCCAATGAAATAATTAGGCAGCAGTCTGGAGTCCGAGATGATGTTGTCGAAAGCAGGCTCAGCAAAATGCGGTGGGCGAGACATGTGGCTCGACTCAGTGACAACAGATGGACTGCAGCTATATCTGAGTGGTATCCGCGAGAACTGAAATGGCCACGCGGTCGGCCTCCAAAGAGGTGGGATGATTTCTTAACAAGGAGATATGGACAAACATGGCAAAGGATGGCCAGAGCAAGAGAAGATAATATATGGAGATATACCTATCTCATAGAACTGGAAGGGACCTCAAAAGGTCATCGAGTCCAGCCCCTTGCCTTCACTAGCAGGACCAAGTACTGATTTTTGCCCCAGTTCCCTAAGTGGCCCCCTCAAGGATTGAACTCACAACCCTGGGTTTAGTAGGCCAATGCTCAAACCACTGAGCTATCCCTCCCCCTGAAGATTGGAAGATGTGTTGTGATCGGCTCAGTCTTAACTGATGAAGGACCGACAGTCTACGCAGTCTACACAGATACAGCACTCAACCCAAGGTTTAAGAATCTGAAGTGCCTTCCAAAATCTGAGAGATGACGACGTGTGGAGCATGCTTTCAGATGTCTTAAAAGACCAACAGTCCGATGCGGAAACTACAGAACCCGAACCACTAAAAAAGAAAATCAACCTTCTGCTGGTGGCATCTGACTGAGATGATGAAAATGAACATGCGTTCGTCCGCACTGCTTTGGATCGTTATCGAGCAGAACCCATCATCAGCATGGACGCATGTCTTCTGGAATGGTGGCTGAAGGGACATATGAATCTTTAGCACATCTGGCACATAAATATCTTGTGATGCCGGCTACAACAGTGCCATGCAAACACCTGTTCTCACTTTCAGGTGACATTGTAAACAAGACGTGGGCAGTATTATCTCCTGCAAATTGTAACCACACTTGTTTGTCTGAGCGATTGGTTGAAGTAGGACTGAGTGGACTTGTAGGTTCTAAAGTTTTACATGGTTTTATTTTTGAATGCAGTTATTTTTTGTACAAAATTCTACGTTTGTAAGTTCAACTTTCATGATAAAGAAATTGCACTACAGTACTTGTATGAAGTGAACTGAAAAATACTATTTCTTTTGTTTTTTACAGTGCAAATACTTGTAATCAAAATAACTATAAAGTGAGCACTGTACGCTGTATATTCTCTGTTGTAACTGAAATCAATATATTTGAAAATGTAGAAAACATCCAAAAATATGTAAATACATGGTATTCTATTACTGATTAATCGCGCGATTAATTCTTTTAATCGCTTGACAGCCCAAATTCAAATGGTTAAAATCAGACCAAACTATACTTTTCAAATACAGCAAATGCAGTGGTTCAAGCATGCAAGTAGGAAGTCCTTTGAGAAGACTGCATGATTGAGCTTCTGATGCAAACCAGCTCGTTTTGGCAAGGACATGGCTATTGGGTCCAAAGACTATGGTTTTTGGTATATATTTGTACAGTGCTGAGCACAAAGGGGCCTTGATCCCTTATTGAGGCCCTTACTTGCTACCACAATGTAAATAATTAATAATAAATGCACAGAAATAATCTTATGTACTGTTATGTCAATAAATAGCCTCAGCACAAAACACATTACAATGCTTTTTAGGGTGGCGGGATTCTGCTGTAGGGAGACCTACAGATATAATGCAGTCTGCAATGATCAGCAAGCATTAATAAAAATAGCAGTGCTATACAGTATATTAAATACCAAACAGGGTACATTAAGTTAATGTTAAGTATTAAATACCCACAAAAG